CAAGTCGATGTAAAAATACATCAACAAATACAAAAACACAAATCAATAATAATATTTGTATAAGTTGCTCGGCACTTCAATATGAGATGAGAAAAAATTAAAAATAAAAATAAATACATTAGTATTATTATTATTAGTATTATTATTATTGGAATTATTAGAAACAATGTAATTTAAGAGATGCGATATTAAGGACAAAATCATTTTGACAAATTAATAAAATAATCATTATAGTGCAATTTTAAAGATATCATTGATAATGACGAAGAAAAATATTGAATATCATGCGTATACAAAATTTATAGTGACGAATTACGTTTTAATAGTGAAAAGACCCAAGAAGTTACAATGGTTGTTCTATTAAGTCAACGATCAAATTTGCAACAAAGAAATATGCATATGTGACATATGTACGTGTGATATATGTTCCGATACATGTATATCTAGTCCAAAACTAGAGCTAAATATCTAAATGGAATGTCTCATTAACGTCCGAAAAAATACCTATGCTTGTATTTCATAAATTTCTATTGAATAAATGTTAAATAAATAAGCTAAGACGTTTTAACATTGAAAATTATATTTGTAGCGTATAATACGTTATATAGATCGTATAACAGAAATCTGAATTTATAAAATTCTAAAACTTCTCGAATAATGATAATAATAATAATAATAATAATAGATAATAGATAATAGATAATAGATAATAGATAATAGATAATAGATAATAGATAATAAATAAATTAATAATAATTATAAGCGAGGTAATACGCACACAAGGTGAAGTCGTCATAGCATAAATTCGCTCCATGAACATATACTGAGCTCTATGGGCAATGTGTAAAAAAACTTTGCTAAAATACAACGGGAAGGAATTTTATAAGAAAGTAAAATTTATGAAAAGAAAATTAGCCACATCACTGTACAGCTGATGACGACGCATGAAATGCGTAACCCTGGGTAATGACATCGACGACACAATGGCCGTTGAAAGTGACCTACTTTAATAAATACTGTTAATTGGAAGAATTGGCCAACGATGCAAATGTCGAGGCTCTGCTACGATAAATTCGAGTCGACGTATTGAGAAATTATTGAAAAAAAGGGAGACGAAAAAAAAACGCCACTAGCAGGCAGTTTTGCAGGCAATTCGATTGGCATCGAAAGATGAGCGCCGTGATTTATACGCTTGAATGATGCTTTCAACAACTCCATGATAATTCTGGACCAAAGAGGAATATAAACACAACATATAAACATAGAAACAAAGACTATTCTTGATTAAAGCAATACGCAAAGTTAGCACATACACATATATATTAGGGCACAAGTGTCTGCAATTGGATATGGAGAATGAGTGTAATTTATATAAACTATTAGATCGATAATTTATTCAACTATCGACGCAGAAGATCTATCAACGCATTGAACCGAAATGAACGAGAAAGTTGGCTGCAGCAGTGGAAGATTACATATATGTAACAACGATAGGCAATAATACTCTTTCATATTCTTCATATGCTTTGCAAAAATTTAATAAATATTTCTGACCCTGATTTATTGTTAGCGATAAAACTAAATTTTACATATGAAAACAAAAGTTCGTGCAAAAAATAACGCTTCGTTTTTCTAAATTCCGAATATAAAATTCATAAATTTTACTAATTTTTTTAAAATGTGATATTACACTTGGCACGTTATATTATATGCCATAATATTGAATTTATGTAATTTTATATTTCATTTGTAGAAATCTTCTTACCACTGCAATTATGTTCAAAAAAAAAAAAAAAAAAAAAAAAAAAAAAAAAAAAAAAAAAAAAATATAGAAATAGAAATTTCAATGAAATTTTGAATTTCTTTCAGACAAAAAAAAACTGTATAAAATGCATCGTATTTCACTGAAATTTGGTTCATCTAACACATCACTCTGTCTAATTTCTAAATTTTCTTTTTAAAAAACGACAACAACAAAAAAATTAAAAAATTACTTTTTTTAGCTTCTCTAGTAAAAAGTTTCTATATTCTTTATTCAAGTTCGGCTTTAAGTAAAATCTTTTCAGTCGTGAAAAGTTGAAAAAAAAACACGTTAAAATCACTTTTTAAACTGAATTGTGACTTCGAAACTAAATAAAAATTTTTCATTGTGTTTATTTGGCTATCAGATTTGGTATTATTATAAAATAAATGTACGCATACAGTTTTCGTAATTTAATTTTTTTATCTTAAACCAACAATTACTTAATAAAATATTTCTGCGATAGTACATAAATGACGCTTTATTTACGAATTTTCGAAAACATTTAATTATCTTATTGATTTTTGTGTAATGAAATATCATAAATTATAAAATATGAATGTATTTGTGACTTTTTATAACAAATAGTATTTAGTATTTATTTTAATAGTATAAATATATTATTTAGTCTGGAAGAATTATTTTACCGACTAATATTTTATGTTCACATTTAATTGTAACCGACAAATGTCGAATTTACTCGTTAGACAAAACAGTTGTAATTTGTTCTTTCAAGAAACTTCTATGAATGTTATAATAATAAGATTATTTATTTCTATTGAAAACTTTTATAAATATTTAATGATCTTCCGATTATTCTATTTATTCTTATTATTCTATCTATAATATTTGATAAACTTTCTTTTTCATCAAAACGCACGTCATCTAATTGTAATCGTAACTTTTTGTTACGTCTGGGCACAATTTCGATCTCGTTTGATAACAAATTGATGCAATTCATTAATTTTACTAGAATTTTTTTCTAAATTTAAATGATAAATATATATATATATATATATATATATATATATTTGTTTATACTTATAACAATAAAAATTAGATCTACCGTAAATAAAAGAAAACAACTGAAAATTTATTTTAATAAGTACGAATATAATATGATTGATTAATTTTTTTTTTTTTTTTTTTTTTTTTTTTTTTTTTATTAATATGTTACTGCAAAAGTGTAAATAAAGGAGTAACAATAAAAATTTGATATTTTAAATTATCTTTTTCATATTCATACATACTCATATAATATTTCAATATATACTTGCATTGCAAATACACATCGTTCATAATTCTTTATAGTATAAAATAAAAAATATTAGTACTTTTTTTAAATTAATATTTATTAATGTAAAAATAAGATAGAGAATTAAATATTAAAAAATCGCAAAATTCATGATGATACTTAAGATTTTTCATAAATATTATAGAGAAAAACATTATAATTACTTTGCGCTTTCGAAAGATAATCAATTTATTCTATGATAAGAGTACATTTAAATGAAATTCCAGCATCTGATGTACATGGAAAATTTCGTTTAATGAAATCATAGAGTTCGGTTGAATGTAATCTATCTTGCCTATCGAAAAAACTAGATGAAGTTCCGTTAAAAATTTTAAAGTTTTCATAATCGCTGTTATTAGTTATAATGATATCGGATGATAAATCGATTAAATATTTTTCAATATTTTGTTTATACCGATATGAATATACTAACGATATTAAATGATGTTAGATATTGTTAAATTTTTAGAAAAAAAAAATGAAATATAATGAATGAAAATATTATATTATTTAAATTAGGATGTAAATTATATCTGCATAATGTGCTAAAACTTGCAAAAAAAAAGGAAGTATAAGAAGTTCGTTTTTCCTAAAAATAAATTCAATCGGTGAGATTATTATTTTCTTATAAAAAGTAATTTCAAATAATTAATGCCTCACATATACATATATATATATATATATATATATACATGCTGATTTTTCAATAAAAATTTATTATTATACCATTACATTTATTTTGATTTTTCAAATAAAGTTGACATTATTTAGAGATGTTCTGTTTTGCGATATGTACACATTAGTGTATTGGCATTATATTTATTTATTTATATCATATGAAAGTGAAAATAATTTTAAAGATCTCTATTAAAAACTCAACTAAAAAGAACCTCAACTACAAAAAATCTCTACTATGGAATTACTTTTTGATTATAAATTTTTTACGCACTTTCATAATTTTATTATAGCTTACCTATTTCAAGAAAATTTGATTAATTTTCCTATGAGTTCTGTTTATAAAATGTAAATATTTTTCCAAAAAACAATTAGTTCAAATTTCGTTTTTTTAAAATTTTTATTACATCTTGTTCTTAAATCAACGTAAGAAAACACTAAGCAATAATATTTTAATGACAATTGATACGATCCGAAAAAAAAATAAACGAAATAATCAAAAACAATAAAAAAACAAAAAGAAAAAATAAATACCTTTTGAAATAATTATTGGGAATACAAAATAGTTTTTGTACGCGTAAGATTTCATGTATAAAGATGCGTACAAGTGAAAGTTTATTTTCGATTCTCTTAATGCTTGCGTGAAAAAAATTTTCAGTATTAGAATAAAAGCAAAAGACGAATGATCTGTCTTATCATGCGCTTATCAAGAAAAGTTGCTTGATTACTTGGTTATCTTGAAAGGCATTAAGAACATTAGGTAATTCGTAATGAGTAATGGGCACTGGTCGGGAAGAATTTATCCCCCGAGCTTGAAATAATTTAATAAATTTTCCACCCATACTGCATACAATTTTCTAACGAATGATTTTGAAAATTCAATATATACGTGGGATTTACGAAACGAACGGGAAAACTTACCGTGCATCTAGCAATATATTATATTTTTCATAATTACCAAGGGAACGTATTAAAAGCGAGAAATTACCAATGGATACTGCAGCCTAATCGTGTGAAATGCGAGTGAACGAGAAAAGTCGCGAGCATCGTGGAGCACCACTAATGCACGATCTCCATAGTTTTATTTTTATCTCCCGTACAATAGCCAATGTACGAGGGAGACGGGTGCGTGGCGTAGGTCAAGAGCTCAAATCCAAAGCACGGCGCGCACCTACACGTACATCGGCACTGAGAGCACAGGGCACGTATATAAACGGCGTGGCAACTAACCTCGATTACAGCTTCCTACGTCCGCTTGGCAGCTCGCCGGATCCGATGATCGCGCGCCTCGACGCATCACAATGGCCCCCTGATTATATCGCTCTACCTCTCGCTGACCTCCGGCCACCCCCACGGAGCTCCCCGCCCACGGCCGAATATCGTCCCCGGGGAATTTCCGCAATGACGATGACTTCCGCATCGGCAGCCTTACACCTTTCTCCCACGAATCTTTTCATAATACGCGCGAAGTCTTCCCGATCCCGTCCGCTTCCCTTACGCTCTCCCTTCCGACCACGTGCTCTTTCTTCACTCCACGGCGAAACTTATTATGCGGCAATTTCTTACGGCGGATATGTCACCTCATTCTCACGACACAGTGGGCATTTACCAAGTTTAAAGCGATCTCTTCCGCTTACGACATATAAATCTCACTTTCTTTTCGTTGAATTGCAAGTACCTGGGCGCTCGATGGCTGCGCTTCGGCGCTTCAAAACACAAAGTTTCGCCACAAAAAATGCCACGAGAAATCAGCGACCGATTATTACCGACCACTTGGCATTAATAACAAAAGCCTTCTAATGAGTTTCGGTTAGTAGTTATAAGCAACGTGACCGCAACTTGAACGTACGAGTTTGGTCTGCCCCCACTGGGATGGCGAAAGGGAGCGGGGGGGGCGGCGGGGGGGGAGGGGGGGGGGGGGGGGGGGGGGGGGGGGGGCTAACACGACATTTGCTAAATACTTCCGTACGGTTTATTAGCCTCGAGCCAATCGTTACGCACTTCCTAATTTGATCTCCGCTCACGAACCTCCCCGTACTCTCTTCCTCTGTCTCTCTCTCTCTCTCTCTCTCTCTCTCTCTCTCTCTCTCTCATCAAGTCCCTCCACGGGCATCGGTACCCGGATTAAAGAGCGGCGAGCGCGCAACACCTCGCCACTGCTGGGATTCGCGAGCGGGTCTTTGCCAGCAGCAGCTCCCCCTCAGGCTCGGCGCACATCGCCCCCGGGAGACTCGGTCGTAACTCGGGAGCCAGTCCCCGACGGACGTTGCGGGCCGGCGGGAGCGCGACTGCGGCGAGGCGCAAGCACATGGAGCAGCTCCGTTATGTGGGCTTCCAGCGCCGCCAGGGTGGGAGCGAGAGGTTGCCGGCGTACTCCGCATCCTTGGCGCATGCGGCCGCGCCGGCGCGTGGGTTAACGTCCTCTGGTCGGCGGCTGGAAAAACTGAAGGACCGGCCCTTGGATATGGCCGGGCTATTCGGACGTGGAGCAGCTGGCTTTCTTTCGGCGAACAACGACCTTGGCTGGTCGGGGGTGGGCTCGAAGGCGCTTACGCGTAACGAGAATTAATGCGACTCTTGGATTAAATCGACCAGATCCTTAATGTTGGCGGCTGGTTGGAGATCTTACAATAGAAGCTCTGACGAGTTCTTTCCTCCTTATCGCTTCCTTTGTTCTTTCTCAACGTGTTGAGAGAGAGAGGGAGAGAGAGAGAGAGAGAGAGAGAGAGAGAGAGAGAGAGAGAAATAGTGTTGTACTTGTAAGGTATGGCTATATGATCATTAGATGCCAAGTTTAAGAGCTCACGTGACCAAGTCTCGCATTATGAAACAAATTTGGAAAAAAAGTTTCTGTCCCGTGTCCGTAATTACGTGTCCAGTCCAGGAGAAGTCCGAACCACCTGGAACCACCACTATCTGCGGACATACACTACCGAAGAACTCGCGAACATTAGACTAAAATACAAATATGTTGTAACAACGTTGTTAAATATCGCTCGATAAGCATCTTTAGTAACCTTTTTAACTTTAACTTCATAATAATAATTATTATTACTATTGCTGTTTTTGTTTCTGTTTTGTTATTATTGTCGTCGTTAAAATATTCCAACGAATATAAGAAAATTTTGCCATAAAGGAAATGGCATTTCACAAATTGAGTACAATAATGAATTGTCATATTGTCCCAATTATTAATGTCATAGTTGTCCCAAACATCTAACATAATATCATCATTATATTATCATTTATCCTCATTTTGAGATACATTTTCTCTCACATGTAATAAATAATTGGATAACGCATATTCGATTTAGTTATTTGAAGATACTCATACCCAAGCTATAAGTCATAAGCAGTTGACTATTATAATACAAAATTCTATAAATAATATATTACACTGACATACTTTTCATCTAGTAATAAAAAATAAAATTACGATTTTATACTTTACCAGAATTACTTTTATTGTATTCTCGGAATATATTTTCCTATCTTCAAGATCATGAGCAAGACATTTTAATTCAAGACTAAATAGTTATATGTAATATTAAAATGCGATCCTCGTGATTAACAGAGACTCGAACTTTCTAATACTAAATAATTACTAAATTATAATACGTACTTTAGAAAATTTATTCAATATATAAGTGGAACATTGCACATATATATTTAAAAATGCTTGATTTTTTAGAATTTCCAAATATATTGTTGTCTCGAATTAATAATAAAATATCTATATATTTTTATATAGATAACGATAATAATATAGATAACGATAACGATAAATATAGATATAGATAAATATATTTTTATAAAATGAATTTTTTTATCATAATAAAATAATGCCAATTATAAAATGTTTCTATTGAAGCAAATAAATTTGCTTTGAAAATCCACTTTCTTCAAACTATGCGAGTATAAATAAATTCAATTATTTTTATTAATATTGATTGTCACTTAATGCTACTCAAGAATGTTTAATAATGAATATTTTAAGTATTGAAAAAGTTGGAATAAAATTAAATTATCTTTTTTGCATTTAGTAGGAACATTTTCACTAAAAATTAGTAAATGTTCCAATACTGTGCTTCTAACTAATGTAATAATTAAATGAAAGTTAACTGCAGCTGTGTTCATATGTATATATACAAACAAAAAAATGAATATCTTTTAAATTTAGTAAAAATGAAAAAAATGAATAAAAATTAAGCACAAGAATCTAAATCTTCGAATAATAAAAATTCATGGCTGTGACTATTTTTTATACATAGAATAATGTATTAAGTTAATTCAATCATTAGATTTAAAATTCTGAGACCCCTCGTATACTAAGATATATATATATATATATATGTATATATATAAACTCAAGAAAAGAAAGTATCGAGTTTAATTCTACTTTAAGTATATGTATAATGAAATAAACTTTTTAATTGTGCGAAAGTTTAATATTATGTAGTATTTATTTCGGAATTAAAAAGTAAGCCTGAATTTAAGTTAAAATTGACAACTTTGATTTTCATTCTACACTTCTTCACATTTAGCATGTAATAATACTGGAATTTCAACGAGTAGAGTATATACTATGGGAGCAGGGATAAGTTATTTTAAGTTTTCATTAAATATGACTAAATATACGAAGGAAAAGGCGGAAGAGACTATTTTGGAAATAAAATAAAATGTGGCTCACCAAAATTAAAAAATGAAATTACATTATTTTATCATATAATTTATGAAATCTAATTGAAGAACAGGAAGCCTGCGACTTTGAATTTCGTTATGTAAGGAAACTTCTGAATGTAGAAGTATTGGAAAATATTCGGATAACATTAATTATATGAGAATTTAAGCAAAAGAGTGACCGTAGACACAGAGAAAAGGTATATCATAATTAACATGCTGTAACATGAAGGAACTGCAGTGTCACGGATTTAAAAGTATATGTGTAATACGGTTAGCATTGAGACAAGATATAGGCAACACACGTATACAATACCACGTACAACCTGAAAACATCTCGTTGATGAGATAACGTCTGAAGCGGGACCAGAAAGCGATCAGTCAAAAGCCAAGCGTCGATTCGTCGATAGCCCAGGGCAACTTCGAGTCACGAGGAGTCTGATCGATCGCAAAGCTCGGCACGTAAGCCGAGTGAAGTGACGAGGCCTGGCGCCCGGAGCTTAATTGCTCATTCGGCTGAGCCGCGAGGAGGTAATTGAGCAAGAGCGGTAGCCGAGAATGGACTCGCGATCCTTAACGATTTCCCGATTGTAATTGGCGCTCGCGAGATGAAGGAAGCGACGCGCGTGCATGCGCGAGTATAGTGATTCAGAGAGATGGAGTGAGAGAGAGAGAGAGAGAGTGGGAGTGGGAGTGGGGGAGGACAGAGTTTTTCACGAGGTTAAGCGAGAGACTCGACGCCTGACAGTTGGATATTTACTCTTTAACTTAGCTTTCTGGAAGGCCCATTTGCAGGCGCAGGAAAATAATCTTTGTCGCTCAAAGGATTCCTTGACAAAAAGGGGCAAATACATTCTGTTGGTCACGCGTTCGCAGCATGAAATCTTTGTTAAAGGCGCTCGTTGTACGTTTCTTGGCTTACCTTATCAACTTCATCCTTTTCATTTTATTTCGTTTAGAGTTCAAGTAATTGAATGCACAATGCCTACGTTAGTATATTTATAGAATGAATTTCCACCAACATTTATATAAATGTCCATTATTTTACATTAAGCAGATGTACAATTTTTGCCGAGTTTCTATTCTTGAACTCGTAGTTGCACATTCAAATCTATCGTCAATGACCTACTTATTTATGTAAATATTAATTAATATCAGTAGCTTATTAAACGCTGGAACATAATTACTTACTATATTCATTCTATTAGTATATTCTGTGTCAATTGCCTTGAAGCATTTGCAATGTAATATTTAAGTTTCATTCAATTAAAATGTTATTTAAAGTAGTTATTACATAATATATAAATCATATGTTACAGTATATACGTATTTTATTGTAATAATTGAAACATGAAAAAAAAAATCAAACAAACACATTAGATTTCGACATTACCAATTCTGTGCATGTGGAAACTCAAAATCAAGTTACTAATCACCAACCTCCGCAATTTGGCGCACGTAAATTTTTGAGTTGTATATACTTTATACATACATATACATATATATATATATATATATATATATAAAGTACAAGAAAAGCTATTTAGTGTTCATTATAGAAGACCCGTACAGTATTATGTAGACATTCAGTATAAGGTTTTATGTATTCGTTAGCAAAAACTTCGAAACAAGCCCGTTAGTATTTATCATTGGCTTATATTATGTAATTTTTTTCAAATATAGGGTTTGTAATGTCGAAGATAAATATTTTATATATTTTTAATCATTCTAATGATGTAATAATCGAACAACCTTATTATAAGGTTTCATAATAATTATTAATATGGAGCTTGAAATATAGGGAAGGAAGTTTATGGTATACCGAAAAGATTATACTATAATGTAAAAATCATGATTGCTTATAATATATAATATTATTCATTATCA